CTGGGGGATTCTGGGAGTTGAAGTCCACCCATATTAAAGCAGGCTGGCTCAAAGTCAAAATGGCTTTAAGTGAAACATTTTTAAAGGGATGCCGGAATTATAAGTAGCCCTCAACTTATGGCTGCAACTGACACCAGAATTTCTGGCAGCCGATCAAACGAACCATGCCAGATTTCGCGGCCTTGTTTTACCTCAGACGTTAAGCAAACCACTGCCGTTGTTAAGTGAATCACACGGTCGTTAAGCGAATCCGACTCCCCTCCCCTTGACTTTGCTTGAGGGAAACTGGCTGGCAAAGCAAAGTCAAGATTCGCTTAACGACCGGATTTGCCTCACAATGGCGGCGATTCCTTTAAACCGCTGTGGAGAAACAAAACCGCCGCCTGGCTTGGAAAACGTTGGCCTCCATCGTGGACTTAAATCGTGGACTGCCTGGAATCAGGGACGGAGAAAGAAGAAAGGCGGATTAAATTGGATCGATCGGTCTTTTAAATCTTCTTTTCTTCTCCAGGTTTCTCTACGCCAAACTTCTCCTGCTTTTGACCGAACTTCGGACGCTAAAAGTGGAAAACACCCGTCAGATCCATCACATCGACGACAGCCAGGATCTCTCTTCCTTGACCCCACTGCTCTCCGAAATTATCAGCTAAAAATCTTGAATTAGGAGAATCTTTGCTTTGCAAATAGATACCAGGTAGTCCTGGACTTACAAACGGTTTGTTTAGTAACCATCCCAAGTCACGACGGCACCTGGAAAACGGGGACTCAGGACCATGTTTTACACTTACGACCGCCGCAATCAAAATTCGACCGACTCGTGTTTATGACGGTTGCACTGTCCCCTTTGGTGACTTTCTGACAAGGGGGAAAAATTCCAGTGGGCAGATGATTCTCTGCACATTCTCAGGGGCTTTGGAAATGCCATTTTGCTAATTTTAACAATGCAACGAAGAAATGGACTTTTTTTAACCCCTGCTCTTTCAGTAGCACTTTAATGATAGCAAATTAATTAAATAAAAACATGGTTTATTTTTCCAGATTGGTTTTTCATCTTGTGGGTACCCTCAAGAGCTCCCCCTGCAACCAACCATATTTTCTTTTTACCATCTCTTTTCATCTGTTTTATCTATTTTATTTTTATCTTACTCTCTTTCATCCATTTCATTGTGTTTTCATCTATTTATGTATCTTATCTACATCTTTTCTACTGTGTTCATCTATTTTTATCTTTTATTTTCATCTCTCTTTTGTTTTTTAATCCTTCCTCTTTTCTTTACCATCTTTCTTTTCACCAAGTTTATTTTATTTTACTTTTATCTTTATTTCTCTTTTCATCAATTTTATCTACCCAGCTTTGGTTGTTTTATTTTATTTTTTAAGATTTCTTCTCATCTATTTTATCTTCATCCATCTTTTCTTTACCATCTTTCTTTTCATTGAGTTCCATTTTATTTTTTATCAACTTTTCATTTCTTTCATCATTTTTATCCATTTACCTGTTTCTTTTCTTTTCTACCATCTTCCTTTTCATCTATTTTGTTTTATTTTCATCTATCTTTTTTTAAATCCATCGTCCTTATCATCTTTTTCATACGGTTTACCTATTTTATCTGTTTTATTTTTATTTATTCTTGTTTATCCCTCATTTTTTTTTCATCGGTTTTATCCGTTTCATTTTTATCAACCCGTCTTTCCTTGGTTTATCTATCCTCTTCCTTTTTTCATTTTATCTGTGTTATTCCTTGTATTTATCTCTCCGTTTTACTTTCTAACCGATCAACTGTTCTTGTCGTCTCTCGGTTTTCTTTCCCCCACTCAAAAGGGGCAGGAAAGGTGTCACTAACCAAAATGGTCATAACTAGAGGATGACTTGTAAAGTTTTGAGGAAAGTGGCAACCGTTTCCTGTCTATGAAAATATCAAAACAAGGCATTAAAAGAACCTCACCTGAAGTGTTTTGAGGGGCTAGGAATTCTAGCCTCAACATCGTTTTAATCATATTTAGAGTCACCATTGCACTGAAGTCATACAATTCAGCTTTTTGGTCCTTGCCCCTGAATCAGCCAAATAACACAAGCCGTCCAGGAAACAGCAGCTGAGTTGAGGGGCTCTTTCAAATTTCAGGGCCCCCACATGACCCACACCAAAATGGCGCCGATCCCACGCTCCACTGGGGAACCCAGAGATCAGAACTCTCCAAAGACCATCGAACGTAGAAAGGAGACCCAAAATCCTGTGCCTGGCTTTTACTTTGCCCTAAGCCAGCAAAATCGGAGGTCCCAGGGGGTGAGAAACGGGGAACCCTTGCACCCAGGGTGTGTTTCTCTCCGGGCAGGAATCGTGCACGGACCGACGGAGGAGGCCGTGGCATCGCCGCATATCTACGGGAGACCGCAAGGGCACCGATACCCTCGTGTCCATCATCCAAGGCTGCATTGCTCTAACCGAGCAACGGCCGCCCCCCCAACCTTTCAAACCCCAACCGCCTCCATTTTGTAAGAGACCCAGGCCGGAGAAGGCCCTCAACCCACGATGATGCTGAACCCACAATGGAAGCGGTGTTTCCAATGGTTGAGGAAGGCGCCCAGCACTAAGGTCACGGGCAACGGTGGTATTTTCTTCTCCAGAACGGCCCCCACGCACCAGTTGCTGTCCAGAAAGCCTGAAAGAAGAAGAAGAGTGAGGCATTAGCGGCAACTTTGGCCTAGTAGTGGTTAAGGCACCGGGTTAGAAACCAGGAGAGGGTGAGTTCTAGCTTTGCCGTAGGCAGGAAAGCTGATTGGGTGATTTTGGGTCAATCACCAGGAGACGGGGAGTTCTAGTTCTGCCTTAGGCATGAAAGCTAGCTTGGTGTCTTAGGGCTAATCACCAGGAGACTGGGAGTTCTAGTCCCGCCTTAGTCATGAAAACTGACTGGGTAACTTTGGGTCAATCACCAGGAAATAGGGAGTTCTAGTTCTGCCTTAGGCATGAAAGCTAGCTTGGTGTCTTAGGGCTAATCACCAGG